CGGGGGTGCAAGCTGCGCGGCGGCGTGCACGCGCGGCTCTGTGTTGGCGCGCGCACATGGTGGTGCAAATGCACGCGCGCACGCATCCCCGTGGTGGTGCACGCGTGGAGTGGCGCAAATGTGCGTGCACGGGCATCCCTGGGTCGGTGCACACAAGTGCATGTGCACAACCACGTTCATGTGCACACGTGTCTCTGTGTCGGCGCGCACACGTAGCAGTGCAAATGCTTGTGCACGACCACACCACCGTGCACACGCGTCCCCATGTTGGTGCACACGTGTAGTGGTGCAAATGCATGTGCGCAGCCACATGCTGCTGTGCACGTGTGTCCTGTGTCGGTGCACGCGTGTCGTCGTGCAAACACATGTGCACAGCCCCGTGCTGCTGTGCACACTCATCCTCACATCAGTGCACACATGTAATGGTGCAAACACACAGGTAGAGTCCCCTGCTGCTGTGCACACGCATCCCTGTGTTGGTGCATGCACGCAGTGGTGCAAACGTGTGCACAGCCACGTCTCGGTGCGCACACACGTCCCTGTGTTGGTGCACGCACGCAGCGGTGCAAATGTGTGTGCACAGCCACGTCTCAGCGTGCATGTGTCCCCGTGCCGGTGCATGCACGCAGCGGTGCAAACGGGTGTGCACAGCCACGTGTCACCTTGCACATGCGTCCCCGTGCCGGTGCACGCACGCAGCGGTGCAAACGGGTGCGCACAGCCCGCGCTCCCCTCGCACACGGCTGCACACGCGTGTGCCCGCTGCCGTGGCGGTGCCGTGGCGGCAGGATTGCGGTGAGTGGGCGATGAGCTCATCCTCCCCCCGCGCCGCGCTGGCCGTGACTCCACCGCACAGCTATGCGGCCCCGGCCCTGCCAGCACCCACCCGTGTCCCCCCCCCGGTGCCGGTGACGTGGCCTGGCACCCAGCGGGGGGGTGACGGGTGTCCCCCCAGGTCACCCGCGGCACCCGGGGCTTGGCCGAGACCTCCTTCCCCGAGGACACGGTGGCCGACCACGTCGGGGGGACGCGGGGACGCCGGTACTACGCGCACCTCTCCGATGACGAGGACCTGGTGGCATCCGGCGGTGAGGGGGCACTGGGTGGGTGGGTGCCACCAGGGGTGGGTGTCACCGTGGGTGGGTGTCACCACGGGTGGGGGCTGCCCCGGATGCCACTGGCGCTGTCCCCGTTGCAGATGGCACCAGGACCTGGTGGCATCTGGTGGTAAGGTGGCACTGGGTGCCACCAGGGGTGGGTTGTCACCGTGGGTGGGTGCCACCATGGGTGGGTGTCACCCTGGGTAGGTGTCACCGTGGGTGGGTGCCACCATGGGTCGGTGCCACCTTGGATGCCACTCGCGCTGTCCCCATTGCAGATGGCACCAGGACCCAGTGGTAAGGTGGCACTGGGTGGGTGGGTGCCACCATGGGTGGGTGTCACCGCGGGTGGGTTGTCACCATGGGTGGGTGCCACCCTGGCTGCCACTCGTGCCATCCCCATTGCAGATGGCACCAGGACACGGTGGTAAGGTGGCACTGGGTGCCACCCAGGTGGGAGCCACCATGGGTGGGTGTCACTGTGGGTGGGTTGTCACCATGGGTGGGTGCCACCATGGGTGCCACTGGCGCTGTCCCCATTGCAGATGGCACCAGGACCCGGTGGCATCTGGTGGTAAGGTGGCACTGGGTGCCACCCGGACGGGTGCCACCGTGGGGGCCACTCCTGCTGTCCCCATTGCAGATGGCACTGGCACCTGGTGGCATCTGGTGGCAAGGTGGCACTGGGTGGGTGGGTGTCACCATGGGTGGGTGTCACCATGGGTAGGTGTCACCACGGGTGGGTGCCACCCTGGGTGCCACCCACGCTGTCCCCATTGCAGATGGCAGCGGCGAGGACGGCAGCGGCGTCACCTGGCTGCCGGCGAGCGCTACCCTCGTACCCGGCATCGGGCTGGCACCCACCGGTAAGGGGACACCGTGGGGTGGCACCTGTCCCCTGGGTGTCACCTGCGTGTCACCGCTCTCAAGCTCTGTCTCTCCATCCTCTTGTCCCCATTGCAGATGGCAGCGGCGAGGACGGCAGCGGCGTCACCTGGCTGCCGGCGAGCGCTACCCTCGTACCCGGCATCGGGCTGGCACCCACCGGTAAGGGGACACCGTGGGGTGGCCCCTGTCCCCTGGGTGTCACCTGCGTGTCACCGCTCTCAAGCTCTGTCTCTCCATCCTCTTCTTCCTCCTCTTCCTCCTCCTCCTCCTCCTCCTCCTCCTCGGCGGAGGGCGGGCGGGCGGCGCTGCGGGGCACCTGGCGGAGGGGGCGGCGGGAACGCGGGGGAGGGG